GGCAGACTCTCCCGGCAGTGCTGGTCCATGAAATGATCAGGTGAGGAAGGGGAAGGCCTGTACACATTCTAAAGAGGCAGCAAGTTTACATGACTGATGTAGGATTCAAATCGCAACTTTGCAAAAAACAAAAATAAAATCCATTTATGTGAGGTGGCTGATGACAAGGTGGACCGTACGTCCAAATCGGCGCCCTGGAAAGGAAGCGACTTCTGTAGAGGGCGAGGGCTAGGGCCTTGGGGAGGACACGCAGGCCTTGTTGGTTTGGGAACGCCGCCCCCCTTTCTTAACTGGGCCTTGGTTATAGGGCCTTAACTTTCTAAATCTTCAGACTCACAAATCTTGTGTTCCTTGTATATGGCATACTTCACAGATTGAGTTCTAGGCTGCCAAAAGCTTTATGATTGTGACGGATTATACACAGACTCAGAGCCATTTTTGATCATCTGAATGCAAAAAAGGGAGGTGAGAGTACAGCGGTCAGAGTTTCACAGATTGCAGGGTGGCCCTGGGCGCCTTCCCACTCCTGATATCACTGAAGGTTGATGCACACAACTGGATTTGTCCTGGTCCTCTAGGTCACGCTCATCTCCGGTCTGTAGCTGGCCTGACTCCAGCTGTTGAGGGAGTGAAGTCTTATTTTCATCGTCTGATAAACGCCCTCAAGCCCCCTGCCCACTCTGAACCCAGACCTCGGTAGTACCTCCTCATTAGTGCCCAGGCTGCCTGCCCTGCCCTCCCCACCCGAGTGCTGGGTGCGTTGTTCCTTGTGCCTGTCTCACTGCAACTGTTCCCTTGTCCAGACTCTGTGTGTGGTGAAGGCTGTGTGCGTGCCGAGCCGCATTGCTGGTGTTCACTCTGACTGGGTGTGCAGCTGCTGTGCACTGATCCTCGCTCAGGGACATGGGCTTCCCCTGGCACGGCTGGACACTAAGCACTGTGTCTTCCTTCTGCTGGTAGRAGCCTGCTGCCATGCCCATTCTTTTCACATGTTCTGTTGAACATGTGCTAGAATTTCTTACCTACTGAAGAATCGAGTCGTGAGGTTGTAGTTGAAGGGAATCTTCGCTCTTAGGATACAAAGGCAGAATGGTTGCACTGTCTTCCTCTCTTGTGGCAGTATTGAAGGCGTGCTGCAGACCACCATCCTTTCCAGGGCCAACAGAGTCACTCAGCTTTTGCGCTTGCTGACTGACAGTGTGTAAGAAGACTCCATGTGGCCTGGGCTTGCATTTCTCTTGTCTGTGTCGCTGCACATCCATTTGTATGTTTAGTGGCCATCTGCTTCCTTGTCTTTGGGATGCCTGATCATGTCCTTTGCCACTTTTCTGTTGGCCTTTTGTGCTCTTTATGTTGATTATAGGGGTTGTGGACACACCTTGGTAAGAGTAGTCCTCTGTTGCTGGTATCCCCCACCGGACACTTCGTTATCTAGGATTTCAATCCAGGTTATGGTAGACGGTGCCCCTGCTCCTTTGCTTTGTGCACCTTGTTTTAAGACAGCAAACAGGCCAACTTGCACATCATCTTTTCTTCACATCTCTTGGCACATGGGACCTGCACCTGAGGTCTCTGTCCTCTGACCTGAGCTTGCTGTCCCAGGCTGTCTTCCCTGGGGTCTTGATGGGAAGCCCCCTGCAGCCTGTGTGCTTGACAATAGTTTATCTTGCTCCCACATTTGAACATCAGTTTGGCTGGACATGAGATTCTGGGTTATAAGTTCTTTTTCTTTAGTAAATTAAAATACTCCTCCATTGCCTTCTTGCATCCTATGTTAATCTGACTCTTGTTTACCTGAAAAATGATCTTTCTTTCTGAAGGCTTTCCACGTCCTTCCTGTCTTTCTTTTCTTTTCTTTTAAGATAGGCTCTTGCCAAATGCCTGGCCTGAGCTCCTGGGCCCCAGAAAAAAAAAAAGAATTAAACACAGAACAGCAAATGCTTGTAGTAAGAACTAATAAGAATCAGCTGTTTCCTTCGTCATTAATAACCTGGTTTGTGGGTATTTTGAGCCATTGTTGTTACCTCTACTTTTGCACAGAGCCTTTTATTGCCCAGCGATACTCCTGTGCAAGGGAAGGAAGGAGTGTGAAAAAKGAAAACAGGTGTTACAGTTCTAATGCTGTGAGAAGAGGTGTTATTGGCAGAAGTGAATTTTGTAGATTTCATTGAATTGGCCATGCCACCCTTAGTCAAGTAACCATACTGTCTATAGTTTGAAGTTGTGATGTCTTTGTTTTAACTTCTCATTTACGAGAATTTACAGCCATGCATGCTGACACACGCCTGTAATCCCAGTGACTTGGGAGACTGAGGCAGGAGGATTGTGAATTCAAAGCCAGCTTCAGCAAAAGCGAGGTGCTAAGCAACTCAGGGAGACCCTGTCTCTAAGTAAAGTACAAAATAGGACTGGGGATATGGCTCAGTGGTCAAGTGACCCTGAGATCAATCCCCAGTACCGCCCCGACCCCCCGGCCAAAAAAAAAAAAAAAAAAAGAGAATTTATATTTTCAGTGTTTTTTGATCATGCTATTTTCTCAGTAATCAACATTTTTTTATATACATAATTTTAAAAGGTCTTCATCTGCCAGTTCTGAAATGTGGCCACCTGTGAATCTACTTGTACAAACTATTTTTTCCGTTGGTTTCTGATAGCATGCTGTCAGAACAGGCTCTCGGTTGTGCTCTCTTCTCTGAGCTCTGCACCTGCAGGAGGCGAGGTAAACCTGCAGAGGTCTGGTCCCAGGGCTGGACTCGGGCTTTCAGGAGATGAGCTGGTTTTGCAGAGGCTTGCTCGCAGAGCTGCTCCCTTCAGCTGCACTCTTAGTTTGATGTTCAGCTCTTAACCCTGTATGTGGCTTGTAACTAAGGGTTGATCCCTTCGTGTGTCCATGGAAAGGCCTTCTAACCCTGCAGGACTTGATCTCCCTCCCTTTCTTCTGAGAGGCAGGGGATCCTGAAATCTTCGCCCACATTTTCAGCTTCCCCGTTGTCTGCTGTAGAATCCTTGGAGTCTTGTCCTGCGTGTGGTTTGGGAGTCAGCCAAGGCCTTGCAGAAAGCTTGTGTTTTGGCTCCTTCCTTTCTAAAGTTATTCCCTGTAATTTCCTGGCAGCCTGGACCCCTGACCTCCAGCTCCTTGGCCCAGCCAGCCTGCTGCCCCTGAGCTGAGTGCTGCGTGAGTCGCGGTGTCTGCTGGGGTGACTCATCTAGAGAGATCCTCTTTGTAAGGGTCACGGCACTTCCAGTTTCTACCTGTGTTTGTTTGTTCTTTGGCATTTTCAAATGGTTGTTTTTTATATTTTGTCCAGAATTCATTATTGTTATTGGCAAAAGGATTAGTGTGATACAAATGACTCTGTCATTACTGGACTCTAGAAATCCCAATCGATAAGTACATTATGGGTGAAAAGACTGACGACAAAGTAGCATGGTTTGTGTAGGGCTCAGGCCTGAGATTGCATTTCCTGTGGATCATGTTTATCCACCATGAGATCTTGTGCTCCACAAAGCCACCATGGGGGCCGTGTGTGTCTACCCTGGCTGTGAGGCTGCAAAGGCACCTGGAAGTGGGCCAAGCAGAACCCTCTGAAAGTCAGCAGAAGGGACTGCGYAGTACTGATCGGCTGATGGAGCATCACGGCCATGACTGTATGCTCACAGGAGGAGTCTGCTCCCTGCCACCGGGAAAGCACAGCTTTTGCGTTGACTTCTTTTGTTCTTTGAATATTAACCCACTGAATGCTGCAGCCACAACCTCTCTCCAGGCCAAGCAGGCCTTCCTTCTTGAGCAGAGTACATGGCCAGGCATTGTTCCCGTGGTTCCTGGGCAGTCTCATTCAAGAGGGTGGACAGAGTGCCCAGCAAACACTGCATGACTGTGTCTTATTTTTCTGGTTCTGAGTCTTTCTGCTCCTCTTTGTTTCTCTGTCCTCTCATYCCGCTGCTGTCTGTATACTCCCAGTTCTCTCACCTCTATAAAGGGTAACTTCCAGTTCTACCCTGATTGTGGCCTGGTCCTATCCTGTCCTTCTCCTGGGCCCACTATCCACATGTGAGACATKGGAGTGCATTTTGTAAATGTCCCAATAAGCCACTGTAAGTTCAAAGCATGGTCAAGCGGACAAACACAGGTAATACAGCTGGCCCCCGAGCATCCTCTTAGCCGTGTGGCCAGTGTACTCTGCCGAGTGTTGGTTGTTTCCCCCTTGGAAGAGATCAGAACACAAAGTGCAGCTTCTGCCCTCAGTTGTTACCCTTGCGTTGTTRCCCTCCCGTTGTCACGAAGTCGGGAGATTGCAAGTTGGACTCTCTCTCATAAGTCAGGGACCCTCAGTTTTTGAAAGGGGGTTACTTATTCTTAATTTTAAACCTAGATAAATCAAGCATTTTATATTTCTTGTGCTAAAAACATTAAGTTGCCTTTGTGTGACGTTTCCATCGATTCTGTCCTGCTCTGTGCCAGTGCCCTGGCAGGAGGAAAGAAAGATGGTTTCCTGCCTCCTGTCAGCACACACAAATGAGACAAAGCTTTGCTGGTTCTGCACTAGCTCCTGAGGACGGGTTTTGCATGCAGGCAGGAAGTCTTGGCCCTGACACCTAGGATTTTGTGTGATTAAAAAGATGTAATTGGATTTGTGTTTGCTTGTCTTCCCCTGGCTTCCCTTATGTCCCTTGAGGTTATTTGTTCGTTTCTCCAGGACTCTCCCCAGCTCACTTCCTTAAGGGAAAAAACTGGAAGTCTAGTCGACTCCTGCTGTATTTAGTTCCTGCTGCATCTCAGAGCTCCTCTCCAGGGACAGGCTTCATGGACTGCAGACAGTGCCTTCCTGCTGACAGCGCTTTCTTCCATCTAAAAGCCCGGAAGCCTTGGGAAGGAAGGAAGCTGGGCTGGCTTGTTTACCATGGCCGTGCCCACCCGCCTTCAACTCCCTGCTGCTGAAGGCCATGGTGCACGTGAGGTTTTCCATTCATGCCTCTCACACTCTTTCCTTTTTCTACAGGTTTTGCATGCAGAAATGTGTCAGCCTGGTGCCTGGAGTCACACTGGACTTGATAGAAAAGTGAGTAGATTGTGAAGCCCTTGTGGTTGGGTCGCTTCCTTTCTCGACTCTTGGTTCCTGGAGCGCTTTCTACCCTGTGGGTGTTACCATCTAGGAGTGCTGGGTTCATTGTCTCTACTCRGCAAAGAGTTGAAGAACAGGACTCAAAGATACCAAGCAACAGGTTTATTGTAAAAGCCACGGTAACAGACTTCTCTGAAGAGGAGGGCCCCAGAGCTGAGATTCCAGTGGGGGATGTTTTGGCCTGTTCTTTTTATGGTCCCTGGAATTTCCTCTTTTCCTATCTCCTCCCGTCCACGCTCTCCTCGCTATTATTCATTGGTGTCCTCTCTGCATCTGTTCTAATTTTTCTCTTGGATCCCACACTTAGGAGTACAAGTACAGAAGTGTCTGTCTGATTGGGTCCCTACTTGTGTCCAGCTTTTGTCAATTGGGAAGTTGACCTCATTGGAAGACCCTCTCCATGTTCCTCTGTTCTGGCCCCCGCCTGACCTCCTTACTCGCCATCTTGCCCTTTCGTATGGGAACATCCATTTGTTCTCTGAGATTGTGTGGGTTATGCTCAGTGTAGGAGGTAGCTACACATGAGGCCATATTAGAAGAAAATAATAAAAAGCCGAATTCTTTTGAACTTTAAAAAGAACCTCCAAACTCTAAGCCAACGCAGAAGACAGGTCACCTCCGCTTTCCCAGAGCAGCCGGCTCAGAGCTCCGCTTTGACCCATTTCCTCAAACTTAAACTTGCCCTTTGATGTTCTGTAACTTTCCCATCCCCTGCCCATTTTACTGTTTGGAACAGACTGATTTCAGAAGGTTCCAGAAGCTGGCCAGGGTGTCCCACACGAAGCACCATGTTGTGCACATGCCCACAGGCTTCCCAGGTTCCTCGAGCAGTGCATGCATCTCCTGTTTGACCTCTTAGGATCTGAAATAGTATATCCGATGCTAAACTTGGCCTGCATTTATTTGCTTTTATGTGCTTGTAACTCCTGAACAGTGTGGAAAAAATGGGGAGTTGAGTGAACCCTTGTGCTCTGGAGTTGATCTGCCAGAGGGCTGTTTCCAGGGCCCCAGTCATGGAATTGTATGTGGCAGTGGCTGAGGCCTGAGCTTATCACATTAGGTCAGAAAAGCAAGCGTTGGCTGACGTTCTCCCTGGAATAGCGCTGGCCTTGTGTGTGGGAAACAATTCACACAGGAGGCCCTCAGTCACACTGCCTTCCCACAGTGGCATGCTTGCAGCTCCGGTGGCAGGAATGCAGGAACTGCACTTGTGCTCACACAGGCACTCTCTTATGCCCTTAAGTAAAAAATAACCCGGTAGGATGCATTATCCAAATGACAACAAACTGCGTGCAAATGTGCATGTTATAAAAGACACAACTAGGTCCACACGGGGGCTGGTATTTGATCAGTGGCAGAGTGGATATTTGATGTGTGAGGCCCTGGGCTCAATCCCCAGCACCATAAAATCAAAACAGGAAAAAAAAAAAAAAAAAAAAAAAACACATGTAGTTTACTCTGCAGCAGCATTGAAGGACTCTAAATAATTAAATAATTCCTGTTCTGACTTGTTTAGTGTTTTTAGAAAAACATAGTATGCAAAATAATCTACAGTTGTGATGTCACCTCACATTTCTGAAGTCCTTCAGATTTCAGAGGCCAAAGGAGAAACATGTTCCTCATACATCTGCTCATTCTCCTCCAGCTGAATGTTCCCATTGGGACTTTGGAAAAGTGGGTATCGAAGTGCACTTGTGAAATTGAAAAACAGTTCTGGGTTCAGAGAGGTTTGCTGTTTTAAAAGCTTGTTGAGACACTTAGAACCCCAGTCTTCACTGTGAGTCACTTTTGAAGCCAGGTTGCTGGGAGCAGGCCTGCACTCTGCTCTCCTGATACCGTTCAGCAGGCGTGTTCGCCATTGAATTGAGTCAGACGAAATGGACACAAGTCAGCATCTGTAGCTGGAAATCCCATGTTGCTGCTCTCCCTTGTGGCTCGGCAGAGGTTAAATTGTGAGTGGTTGAATTATGTTTATATTTTTATGCCACGACTGATTCCGTACTTGGGAATTATTCTGCACCAGGAGAAATCCTGATGTATAGCTCCAGAAGCTGCCCAGCTACAACTGCTAGATCAGTTTCTGAGTGGATGCACAAGTCATTTGCAAGATGTCTCCATGTAAAATAAAATGCTATCATTTTATAAACTTTTAGATTTTTTTCCACTTATGTTATGGTCTCATAAGAAGGAAGATTTTCAGTTATTACATGTGATTTTGAATCAGAAAGCCTCATAGCCTGCACAGCCCACTGCTGTTGGATGGCCCCTTCTCTTGCTGCTGGGAGTTTCCTGTTCAGAGAAAATTTCCTAGAATAAGTGTCACATTATTTTCACCTGCTTTATTATTATTTTCTGGAGATGTCATCTCAGAATATGTTCATCTTGGTTCTGGTGAACTCCACAGCTTGCCACCTGCTAGGCCTGCCTTGATGCCAACTCCTCTTCTCCGCTCCGCACCACCAGAGCACACAGACTGATGATGTTGACCTACATGTCAGGTCAGGTGGAGCCACTTGGAAAGCCATTGCGCAATCAGTTAGGAATCCCAACACTTTCCACAGCCTGCAGCTCCAAGTCTGATTCAGRGTTCACTGTCTCAGGGACTCAAGACCAGGTCGGTCTCCCTCTTGGTGCAGTGCGGCTCCCACAGCAACCAGCATTCTACAAACCCCAGGGGGCCTCTTGCCATCTGGGTCTCCCTCCTCCCCACAGGTGTGGTCCTTGCTCCTGGTCCAAGTCCTYCAGCAGGGCCTGGCTGCGTACTTTGATCTCAGCAGTGCTTTGTGCACATGAGCGTGGAGCTGGCCTCGGCTGTGGGCTGCGTGGCCTCCCTACTGTGTGCGGCAGGCACAGCTGAGCTGCCCATGGCCTGGGGCTGCACACAGCAGAAACCAGGTCAGACTCGGGCTTTCATGTTGTGATCTTGTGTTTTAATTCACATAGAGGTTTGAATCCTGTGATGGCCCTTTTTCTGTTCCACAGACTGGACAAATTACAGAAACGAGTCTTACATTGACTCACCACTCTGGAGGTGCGAGATTAAGGGGCCACATCTGGTGATAACCTCTCTGGTAGACTCCCAAGGCAGAGAGGGTCTTGTGTGTGTGTGTATCTGTCTGACTTCTTACACAGCCACCAGGGTTCAGTCACAACAGCTTGTTGCAGTCAGCTTTTGCATTGCAGTGACAAAAATACCTGAAAAGAACTACTTAGAGGTAGGAAGGTTTATCTGGGGCTCAGCCTTAGTCCATGGCTGGCCCACTCCACTGCTCCGGGCCTGAGGCGAGGGGAGGGGCAGAGGAAAGCTACTCAGCTCATGGCAGAGTCAGGAAGCAGAGAGAGGGGTAGGGCCCAGGGCAGTTGCTCCCCTTGCAGGTGACCCGCCTCCCCCAGCCACACCCCAGCTGTCCAGTTACCACCAGCCAGTCCATTCAAACTAGGGTGGACCAACTAGACTGCAGCCTCACAGTCCATTCACTTCCCCTCTGAGGACTCATGTGGGGACAGGAGCTTTGGGGGACACTTTACAACCAAACTTTATCAGGGCTCCACCCTTATGACCCTATCAAATTCTAATCACTTCCCAAAGGTCTCAACTTTAAATGCCTTTAAGTTTCCTCCCTCTTAATTAATACCTCACAATAGAGATCAGATTTTTTTACACAGGAAGGTTTGGGGGACACACTTAACCCACGTCCAAACTGTAGCAAATGCTGCTGTCAGATGTAAGAGGGTAGGGGAAATGGAGCTCAGATAGAAAGGGTGGGCACGGGGGACTCCCAGACATGGTGCCAGGCAGGCTGCTCTCCAGCTGTGCCCTTCAAGGAGGTCCTCTGGGCTCCTGCTCGCATGTCTACTCCGCCAGTGGTCCAGGCAGCAGGTCCCACTAGGCAGAGTGCTGGGCCATTGTGCTCAGGACGGGTATCCTGGCACGTGACAGAATGTACTTGTCACCAACGTGCCACTGGGTGACAGGCCCTGGCACAGTGCCCCAGATCCTTCCCTGAAAGTGGCACCCAGAACACAGGCTCCTCCCAGAGCTGGGAGCATGAGGGCGCTCCTCTGGGCTGCAGCTCTCTAGCAGCCCTGGGCCCAGCCCCCTGGTGTCACAGTGTGATGTCAGTTGGCCCACCCAGCCAGCTCCCAGGGCCTCATCTGAYAAGTAGAAGGTGTTTTGGGGGAAAAAATGCTTTCGTCTTTTAAGAAAATTTCCTAAAATGAAGTAGTCAGAAAATGGACGCTGGYTTCTCCTCAGGTGGACTGTTACTACAGCTGGTTCAGAGTAGGTCCTCCCAGACTCAGGGTTCACACTGGGAGCATCCAAGACTGTCCCCACTCAGAGCCAGCAGAAGGCCGGCCTTCTCTGGAGACATCTCCCATCCAATGACAGTCGGGGTGGAAGTGACAGGGTAGTCCTCCCCACAGTGAGTCCAGAGACTCATAGTCACCCCAGTCACCTTCCTCACTGCCAGACGGAACCAAGTGGGAACAGAGGCGCATGAGTGTTTTTTTTTTTTTTAATTTATATGTAGTTAATGTTTTAAGAACCCTATTATATTTCAAAACATATAAATTTTTGAATAGTCGAGATTTGAATAAAAACATTTGCGTGATGTTGGTGAAGCTGTCCAGGAGGTTTGCTGGGAAAGGGTTGTGTAATTGGTTGGGTGATGTCTCTGTATCTCCACTTCCTGGCCTACTTTCCAAGAGAGGAGCTTCCGGCTGTGTGGGTCGCATCTGCCTTGGAACAGAGAAGGCATCCACCCATCAGCTTGACTCCTAGGGTGGTGGCATGGTGCCACTCTCTCTGTCTGTCCCGCCTGGTGTGGTTTTCATGTGCAGAGCATGGAAGCCTATGTGGGCGTGGGTTAACTGGTAGCCRAGATACTTTCAGTTGCAGGTACAGGAACAAACAGAAATTGACTCTTCTGCTCAGT